TGTGTGTGTGTGTGTGTGTGTGTGTGTGTGTGTGTGTGTGTGTGTGTGCGTATTCCCTCACCCATGGACGGTCTCCTCTGCTTGGTCTGCATGGTCAGCGTGCCAACCACAGCCCCCATGTTTGCTGCTGTCGTCGTGGGAACAATTGCGTCTGGATGCTGAAGTCTGTGTGTCTCTGGCGTCACGTGTCAGGACAGCTAGAACGCACGCTCCCGCGCCCTCGTTCTTTCTCTTCTCATCCTCTTCTCCTCCCTCTCAATGGCTGTTCTTGGCGAGAAGATAAATAAATATAAAAAAGCCCTCTCTCCCCATCATCCCTCTGTTTATGCTTCCTCACTCCAACTCACTATATGCTCTTCTCTCTCGCCCCCTTTTCCTTCCACCAACCTCCCTCCCTCCCTGCTCTTTGTTTTCCCTCCCTCTCTGTGTATATCTATAACCCTCCCACCCTMACTTTGAGCCCAAAGCCTGAGAAGAGCATCAGGAATTCAGCATGAAATCAGCAGGATGTTGATTCACTAAATTATACATGAATATGAGTGTACCCTTGATATGATAATACCAGATCACTGCGCGGTGACAACAAACACTCCGTGGCCTGTTTGTTCACCTAAAAGGCACCTGATCCCCTCCCTGATGGAGAACAAATATATGCAGAAAGATTGAATATTGATCAGAGAAGGGAGCTATAAATTACAGGRCGATGGGGAAAACATGTGAATGTGGCGGAAGTGAGAAAAGGCCCCAGAGCGTCGGCTGCGCTCCTCATGCAAAGGCCACTTCAATCCATCAACACCTCCACCTCCTCCATCCGTCATCCCCCGTTCATTCATCCACGGTGCACGGACATTTTCACGCACGCCAGAGARATGGATAAGGGGATGGAGATCTTATAAATGTGCATGCCGGGAGATTGACTCTCGAGGCGAGGAGAAAAACATGAAAGACAAATGTGCAAGTTAAAGGAGAGGAGGAAAAAAATCTTTAAGTCAAGGATGTGAAAAGAGAAGGGGGGATTAAAAGCACCAGGAGAAGCTGCTGAGACGTTTAATACGGCGGGAACAGAGAGATGAAGACAAGCGTCAGATATTCCTGTAGGAGGGAGTGTTCTGTAAGGCCAGAGCACTCACAGCGAGGAGAAGAAATATTCCACCCCAAGAAGAAAAAAATCAGAAAAACTATGTTTAACATTTGCATAAAAAAGAAGAAAAAAAGAAATGGACGCAGAAAGCGCACAAACATTTACAAGAAGAAACAAATTACCTCCACCATCTGTTTTGTGCAAGTAAACTTTCACCATCAGTTCAAACGTTTCCTGAAACTGTCTCAGTGTAATCTTTAGATTTATAACTATTACAAAACAWTTAGAGTCAACCCAATCCAAGATGGCTGCCACAGCTAATTTAATTTAGCAAATACAAAAAAAAAGGTTTGTGACTCGGCCAATTTAACAGATATGGACTTAAAATTCTGTGTGGTAGAATCTACCAGTCTTTATCACCTCAGGAGCGCTAACACATCATGTGAGATCTCACTATGTTGCATGGTGTCATAGCATCATTTACAAGATCTGACCAAAACGGYTGTAACTCTTTTCAACATAAGATGATCTTATGATGATGTGATWTTATATAACGCTGATTGTGTTGCGCATAAACCTCTCAAATTCTGTATATTTTATATATGAAGCACCAGAAATKCACACATGTACTGTTGCAGTTCAATACACTGAAATCCTGAACTGTAAGTACCGAACACAGCATTCAACTCTTTAAACATGATCAAAAATTCATAGTTATGAACTTCATAAAAATGAGAAATGGGAGCTGGGGTGTTATATTGTGTTTCAGGATTAAAATTGTCTTCACAAAGGAGGTTCTGCAGCACCGATCTGACTGTTTTTACTAATTTTCTCTAGATCTATTGAAGATTTTTCTGTAACCGTTATTAAAAGCAAAATGTAAAAAATTAATTAGATGTTAGGTTGTGAGTTTTGATTTCTGTGGCATCATTAGCACAGATGCCTTCATGCAAATAATCTTACAGTACAGTTGAATTTCTTCATTTAATCTGACATAAAAACATTAAATAAAGACAGAGTTCAAAATATGATCAACAGACAGATATTATGCTATAAGCTGGGTTGCTAGTGTAATCAGCATTCATGTTTATAAACTGGTTTTACAATAGTTAAGCCACAACAGTAAAAATACTTGCCAAACACACACACACATACACACCAAAACAACTTGGATCAGTTTGTAAGAACATAAGATCTGAGGCATCTTGTAGATTCTTGGCATGCAGACGTTGGCAGATCTCAGATCATGCAGGCTGCAGCTTCAGGTCTCTGTGCATCTTTCCCTAAAGAAGCCCACGATCAGATTTAGACGTGGGGATCGTTAAAGCTGGACCTGCATCTTTAGCCATTTGTCATGTTTCTCATTTAGTTCTGGAGCAGTTTGTGCTGTGTGGCAGGATTTATTGTCCCGCTGAGGGAGGCATCTGCCATCAAGCAGCACTGTTGCCATTAGGGGTGCGCATGATCCAAAATATCATCTCTATGAATGGCCTAAAAGTTCCCATCTAAATAATGAATGTAATTCACTTCAGCTTTAAGTATCTGAGCTGAGAATATTAGTTGGTAATGTCTGAATAAAAAAGTTACTATTGTGTTAAGATGAGCGCTGAGTAAAAATAACATTAAAGCTCAATAGGATCTTTATTTTCCTCCATTTCCTGCCTAATAGTCTGGACTTTAAGATGTAAAAGCCCCAACAACTTGCCAAAATGTCATTTTTTAACTAAGCAACACTTAGAGATGCAAACGCTTCCACAGATGAAGCATATTTCACAACTAAGTTCTAGAGACTAATTTGCAGATTTGACACACTGTTTCTTCATTTAAACCATCTGCTTGTTTAAAAAAAAGCTTCTGCAAAAATGGTAACCCAGTGAAAATAAATAAAACTGTCAATTTTTCTTTAGTAAATGGTGAATAAGGAGCACAGAGTAACTGTTAGAGCACCATAAGGGGAGAGAGAAGGAAAGTTTTGGTGAGTTAAAATCTGCAATCTGCTTCTTGTGAAAATCCACTCGAGTACTCGGATGTGTTTTTTTTTTCACTGTAGTGAGAAAGACAGAATGGACCACAGTGGGGAGCAATCGTTATACCCTGCCTACACACACACACACACACACACACACACACACACACACACACACACACACACACACACATACACTTCCACAGAGTGACGCACACATATGGTCTCACACACACATTTTGCACATTTATCAACCCCAGGCAGAAGGACAGCTCACGGGTCAAAGTCTCTGTGGACTCTTGTGGCATCCCGCTGACGTGCAGCAAAGAGCATGTTCTGCTACAAAAACACACACAAACTCACTTCTGGTCCCCGGTCCATGATCTGATGACTCTACTGATACCACCACAATTCAAACAAATTTGGAATGTTGTGTAAAACGTGAATAAAAACAGAATGCGGTGATTTGAATGAACCCATATTTTATACAAAACTGCAAACATGTCAAATAAGACATTAAATAATTTTAGATTTTATGGCAGCAATGCATCTAAAAAAATGGGACAGTAAAGCATCCATCTTCTTTACAACAGTCCAGAAACCAGTTGCTGGAGTGCTTAGAAGGAACATCGTAACATTGTTGTCTAATTTGGGATTGTAGTTGTTCAACTGATGGAGTCAGGTCAGTTCAGCACCAGGTCTCTTCTACTATGAACTCAGGTTTTTGGGAGACATTTCTGTCTTTTAATTTTTTTAAAGAATTTTTTTACTGTTTTTTCCACAAGTTTTTATTTGTTTTTACACATTATTGTTTCCTGCTTTTACTTTACCACTTACTTTTACAGTGTCACGTTGCCCCGTCTAGATTTATTTTGAGATGTGTTACTGCCTTAAAATGCAAAATTAGTTTATATTTCCCCCCATAAAATGGTAATTTCTCATTTTAAATATTTGATATGTTTGCTAAATTTCATTGTGAATAAAATGTTGAATAAAATCCTTGCATTCTGATTTTATTTACCCGTTCCATAAAATAATTTTTTTGGAAGTGTAGTTGTGAAATGTGTGCTTCTTTCCACTGTATCTGCTCTCATCTTTGACTTGAAACAATAAACACATGCAACTCTTCATCCTCCTATTTGACACGGTTCCACTTTTATCCAACAATCTCTTCCTATAAATCTTGGCSCTTGTATGGAAGCAATGTTCTCGTYGTTCCAAACATAGTTTTCTGCTTGTTCCAATCTCAAACCTCCATCTCCCCGCAGCGTCTGACAGGCCCATTTCCACACTGACAGAAATGTTTCTCCATCTAGTAATCATTTCAATGTCTGTTTTCTGGAACACGGGAGAAGGAGCGTGCTTGTTTTTGCTCTTGTGGGTTGAATATTGCTATTGACTCGTCGGATGTTTCCCCCTGCAGGGATGCAGATTGTTTCGCCAAATCCCTGCCACACTTTTAAGGATAAAGATTAGAGAAGGAGAGGATAAAAGAGCAGGAAGTGCTGCTTCCGAAATATACGGGTGGGATTCAGAGCCAAAAAAAAAAAAAGCTGTAACAGTGAAAGATGAAAACATATTTGGCAGGGTAGGGTGAGAAAGAAGCAGGATAAAACACAACAGAGAGGCTTCCAGCAGGAGATTAGGGGTTGCGGAGGGAAAATAAAAGAGAAAGAAGAAGTGGCGAGTGAAACTACCACATTTTTCAGGGAGGAAGAACAAAGAGAACGAGCATAAAATGGGGGAGCAGGCCTGCAGAGGAAATTAAACTCCACGATCTTGATTAAGATTAAAATGGCAGCAAATCAGCTCAATAAAAGTTGCATATTAAGATGTACCTCGGTGCTAAACTGCAGCCGGCAGCGTTAAAACTTGCGCTTTCCCCGTTAAAAGATTAATCACAGCATAGATTGTGAATCCATCAAAGCGCTTCATGACGGGGTCTTCTCTTCACAATTATTCATCGGGGGCCAGCTGACAGGGAATGGGTTTATTAGCAAAATCAATACTAATTTTTATAGCAGCCCAAATTACTTCTCACACAGCCACTCGTCTGTGTCTTTATTTCAAGACGTATGCCAAGCTTCTCACCTGTTTCTACCCATGAAAATAATTAGACATAACTATAAATCTATTATACAGGAGGACTTGTAAAAGAAAGTAGCACAAATAAATAAAACTCATAAAAAGGATGAATGTGTGGAGAGAAAATTAG